AATTTAAAGAGGTTGTGAGACTGGGGAAAAGAGCAAAACCCACCTGTGTGCCTTCTGCAGGTAACTCACTTCAAATGCAGAAGTTCCAGTAGGCTAAAAGTGAAGTCACAGAGAAAGACATGCACAGCTTACGTGGAGAGAAAGGGGAAGTGGCTGTATCAGTATCAGACAAATCAGTACCAGCGCGGAGAACCTTACCAGGGTAAAGAAAGTCGTGTCCTGCTGATACCGGGGTCAGTTCATGAAGAGGGCGTAACAGTCCTAAACATTTCTGCACCTGGTAACAAAGCTTCACAGTATGTGGAGGAAGAATTGCTAGAGCATCAAGGGAAAATAGGCAAATCCGTAATTATGATTGGAAATTTCACTACCTCTCTCAATAATTGATAGAAAAGTGAGTGGAAAGTCGTTACATGACACCACCAGCCAGCGTGACGTTACAGACATTTACAGAACGCTCTACCCAGTGACATCAGCATATGGGCATGTTCCTGTAAGCAGAGTGAGCGTTCACTGCAGTAGCCCTTAACTCTGGGCCATAGCAAACTACTGATAAATTAGGAAGAATTAATGTTGTACAAAGTACCCTCTCTGACTACAGCGGAACTATATTTTTTAAAAATCAGTAACAGAAAGATATTTAGAAAACTACAAGTATTTGGGAACTAAAACCACACTTTAAACAACCTGTGAGTCAAAGAAAGCAAGAGGGAAATTAGAAAGTATTTTGAACTGAATGAGAATGAAAATGCAACGCATCAAACTCTGTAAAGTGCAGCCAAAGCAGTGCTAAACAGAGAAATTTACAGCATTAACTACCTCTTCAAGCAAGGTCAAGGGCTCAATTACCTATGCTTCCACCTTAAAGTAGAACATCAGAGAGCCAGTTATGCCTAGAGCAACCCAAAGAAAGGAAATAGCATAAAAGCAAAAGTCAACAAAACAAAAATTTTTTAAATATGGAAAATCCATGACACCAAATGCTGGTTGTTATAAGAACAATAAAATTGATGAACCAGGCCAAAAATTTGAGTAGATACCACCCTAAGGCTGCGAAAAGATAATTAACACATTATTAGGGAAGCCACATTGAGACAGCACTACACACTTATCACAGTGGCTTCAGCTAAAGCAGTGCAGCCATTGATTGGTTGGCTGGAAGTCCTCAGCACTGCTCTTTGGGAGAAGTTTGGCGATTTCGTAAAAGCTAGACGTGCACCTACCAGACAACCCAGTCATTCTACTTCTTGGTATTTGTGTAAGCGAAACGAAAGCACGTGTCCACAGCAAGACGTGTACATGAGTATTAATAGCAGCTAAAGCTCTTGTTTGTAACAGCGAAAAACTGGAAGTAACCTGAATGTTTCCAGACAGGAGAATGGATGAGCAAGTTGCGGCTTGCCCACCCTGGGGAGTACTACTCAGTGATAAAAAAGGAACAAACTCATTGTACACACATAGGAATCATCTCCAGATATGACACTCGGTGAAAGAAACCAGACGAGAGAGTTGTGTTGTGCGGTGCTGTTAACACACAACTCTAGAAGCAGCACAGTAATTTGCAGAGACAGAGCTCAGTCCGGTGTGGCCTGGGAGCGGGTAGGGTTGGGAGAGGAAGTGAGGAGAAGGGGCACAGAGGGGCGCAAGGACACTTGGGGGTTGGCGTGGTGCTCATCGTCCTGATGGTCGCGTGGTTCCACAGGGTTTGTCTGCCTCAGAACTGTTCCAGGCGCATACTTGAGATCTTTTCCCCTTACTGCTCCTCAGTTATACTTGAGTGCAGCTCTGAAGTGTTTTTAAGAGAACTAGTGGAATTTGTATTTGTACCTCACACTTAATTGCAGGAGAGTGACCATGTGGTCATTTGAATTTTAGTCGAGTGTTGTTGAGTGAGCATGTGTATGCAGCACCTGTTAACTTGCTGTGTCTGAAAGAGGTTCGCACAGTAGTCTCACCTCCTAGGGAGGGCTGGCCGCACTCTTGAGCGCACTGGCCTTCCTTTAGGACACTGTCCACCCTCTCTATGGGCCATCTCGTCCCGCTCTGTGGCTGTACATAACCTGTATGTATGGTGATCCCACATTCTGTGGCCAATTGCACCTTACTCCCCAAGTATTTTATTCGCCAAAAGCTCAAAACAACCCCCCATGCTGTGCAGGTGGGTAACACGCACTTCACTCGTACAACACTCAGAGCAAACCTTTGGTTCTTGCCTCTGCCCCAGCCCGGCCTGTGTCCAGTGTCTCTGCTGGTGGCACGTCCACTGCGTGGGCAGCTAGGCCCACCCAGTCACACCCTGGGTCCAGCACGCAGTCCTGTGAGTCTGATGGCTCTGCTTTCTGCAGCTCACCTGTGCCCGGCACTGCCTGGAAAAGTCTGGAACATCCTCGCTTACACTGTTACCCTCCCAGAGTTCATTTTTCACACAACAGTTGGAAAATCTTCAGCCTCGTTGTCAGCACACAGCCTGGGTGACCGGCCCTGACAGCCTTCCTGCTGCGGCCGCTCCAGCTCCGGCCTCTGTCCTACCCCAGGCCGCCTGCGCACTGGCCGTCTTTCCTTGTTTCTCCTGAACACTCGATCCTCGCTGAAGCGTGTCCTCCTCGCCCCACTGCGCAGCCTTGGCAGCCTCACCGCCTCGCGGAGGAGGAGTGCTTCCTGCCGCAGCGGCTCTGTCTGCGCTCGCTGCTCTGCTGCCGTCCTTGCTGCCTTCTGATGGCAGGAGGCCTTGTGGGCAGCGGCTTTCCAGGATTGATGGCAGAGGTCTCCCCGCCGCGGGGCGGCTCCCGCACTCAGCCTGGGCTCTGTGGAGCCTTCCCTGCACCTCCTCTCCCGCCCTGGTGGCTGGTGCCATGGCAGAGCTCTGCCTTCACAGCGGCCCTCGCTGCCACCTCACTCTGAGGGCGCAGGGAGCGTCAGCCCGCTCTCCTTACCCCTTCCTTCCCCGCACACACCCCACACCCTGTCAGCCATGCCTGGCTCCCCGTCCCTTTCCTCCGCCGTCTCCTGCTAGGCTTCTGCCCCAGGGCCCTTGTGCTTGCTCTCAGGAACGCCCGTATCCGCAGCCCTGCACTTCAGATGTCTCAGGAAGGCCCCTGACGGTCATGGTGAAGAAAGAGCCCCGTCCCCGGCCGCAGACACCTAAAGTCTTGCTCTGTGTTTTTCCGTGTCTCAGTTACCACTGTCGAGTGTTATGTGTTTTTTACCTTGTCTTTGTCCTTGACGAGGATATTAGCTCTCTGAGGTCAGGGATCTTTGTTTTGTTCACCACTGTGTCTTCAGTGTCTGGACCTGTACACTGGTGGGCTCCCAGTAAACACTGGATGGATAGACAGATGGGCAGACATATGAATGGATGCTGACCCAAGGAGCTTTGTAACCTTAGAGCCCTCCCCTCCTGTCCTGGGTCGCAAAGGAGGCCTGGAGAGGTCTGACGGCTGTGGCTGTTGGTCGGCGATGGCCATCTTGAATCTGTTGGGACAGAGAAACACCTACTCCGGGGGGCAGGAGGACTCAGTTCTCTTCTGCTGCGCCCCGTTCAGTCAGCTGCTGAGCTGGGTTTGGGTCTCTGCAGGGGACCCTGTGGATGTGACAGGTGTAAGCAGTTTTGATCACTGGTTTATTAAGAATATACACGCCTGTCTTTTGCATCTTAGTGGTGCTGTCTTCATTCTTTTAATCACGCATTTGTTCATTTATTCATTTGTTCGTTCATCCCCCTTGTTGCCACCTGATACCTCGTCATTCCGGGCTCTGCAGACAGAGCCGGGGCCACTTGCGAGCACTCTGTCGGCTGTGGCACCAGTCGTGCATGTGCATCCATGTAGTCCAGGGAATAGGCAGAGCCCGGGCCTGCGTGAGCCTCAGTGCAGGATGAGCCTCAGAGCCCAGGGCTGAGGGCAAAGCTGGGCTGCTGGCTGTGGAGGGCTGAGGGGGCTCTGGGCGGCGTTCCAGCCAGGAGAGCGTTGGCCTGTGTTCTGGTCCAGCTTCCCACCTGATGTGTACGAGGTGGGGGCGCTCCAGATGGTGGGGGAGGTGGGTCATGGCAGCTCGATCCCGTATATGCTCTGACTTGAAACCTTGCCAGGGTTGTGCTGCCTCTGGAAGGCTGTGCCTGGCTTCCCTGTCACATGTCGCCCAGGTGTGCCTTTCTTGAACCTCTCTTGAGGATTTGCAGGATGGTTCCTCTGAGGTGCAGACGACCCCTCTTGGGCTCCTGCTGATTCGAATTTAAATCTCGGCCCCTGCTTGTGGCCCTTGTAACTTCAGGCCTGTTTTAAATGTGGGAGCTGTCGGTGCATTTTTGAAGCTAATCTTACTGTTCTGGCAGGGCGGCTGATGAGTTTTGAGAGAGGATGTAGGGTGACAGTCTTGCCTCTTCCTCCTACCTCTGAGGCGCCCACCCCACCCTCACCCTGCAGGTTAGGACCCATTTGAAAAAGTGGACCCAACTTGTAGCTGGAGTTGAATTTAGCTACACGGGGGCCGGTCTTGGCTCTGCGGCCGCTGTCAGTCTCCCGGATGTTCATCTTGACTCTGGGAACGTGGACAGCTCACCTCGGAGGTGCACTTAAGCCAGAATTGCCAACTCAGGCCGTAGTGCTCATGTGCCGCCGTCTCTAGAATAGTGGCTTTGAACTTTGTTGACGGTGAAAAAAAAACAAAAACAAAGACGGTCCGGATACTTTCTCAGTCTGAGAACTGAGGCGGACACTTTCCAGCGGGAGGAAGTACTACAGAAGTCTGGGCGAAGGGGTCACTTGGACGACTTTTCGACTCCTACTCGGATGGTTTCTGCAGCATTACTCATGTATTACGAGTTTCTAGACCACCAGGTATGGTTTTATTCAACAGATGCCCCATTTGATGCTTTTCTGTATAAACACCTGTGTGCGCTATAATTTTAGAACTATATGTAATGTTTTTTGATGATTCTGACTTTGTGGATCATGTTTTGAAAATGATTTTTTTTTCTGTTCCAGACTCCTTTTAATTTTGGCATGAATCATAGAACACCACCCTACCCTGCTGGGGACTATTGTCTTCTGTGCAGAAGCGAACGGAAAGACTCTGCCTTCTCGGAGAGTGGGCTCAAGGCTGCGAGCAAATTGGCCCTTTCCATGGCTCCCAAGGGCAACAGCGTGCTGCACCTGCCGCTGTGGGTGTGCCCGGACTGCCGGCGGACTGTGGAGAGGGAGGAGCGGCACGGCAGCCTGGACCAGCCAGCGGTGAGTGGGTTGCGGGACTCGCCTGGCAGTGAGACAGTTAGCTTGAGTCTGCTTTCTGGAAGGAACTCCCTCCTGCACCATCTTCTGTTCCCTTGCTCCGCCTGCTGGGGCCTGCCCTCCTTGGTGAGCAAGCTTCGGGGGCCCAAAGGGTAGGTTTTGGCTTTTTTAGTCTGGTCTCAGGATTTCTTTGTGGATGTAGTTTGTTGAAAAGCTAGGAGGCTTTTCATGTGTTTTGCTGTAGGCAGTTCTGTGTGCTGGTAACTCACTCATAATTCTTTCTCAGATGCCGTTCTCACACCCAGGTCAGCCCTTTTCCTCCTGATTTCTTGCCGCAGCTGAATTAAGCTGTCTTGAGACCAGCAGGCTTACATGGGAAGACCACACGCTTCATCTGGTCTTTGGCCCAGACTGTGTCTTAGTCAGCCCTAGTTCTGAAAGGGCTTTCAAACCTGCTGTTTGGGTTCTAGAAGGAGTTGACTTTTGCAGCCATCTGAGGCCCCACAGTCTAGGGCTTTTCTGTTCCTTCCATTTCTGCTTGCACGCAGCTGGCTGTTTCCTGAGCTGTTGTCTTTCTCTGAACACCTGGCCACGCGCGGCCACTGCCAGCAGCCTCCACCTCCACACTCTCTCTCCTGACCTGGAGCTGTGGCAGTGTGCTGCTCCTCGGCATGAGTCTCCTCGCCTTCCTGGGTCTCAGCTGTCTCCTTGCTGCCTGCCGCTAAGCCAGTGGCTTCTGTTTTAGGCTTCCCTTGAAGGCAGCACCCCAGCTCACGTGCCAGTTTGTGTAGTAGTGCCTTTATTAAAGCTCTGAACCTCAGAACCTCGTTGTTCCTCAGCACAGAAGATGACTTCTCACGCAGCCTCTTTCCCTGTGCCTCCCTCTCCTGCTCTGTCCCCTCTCCAGCACTTCTTTTTGCTGCTCTGTGTGTTTTACTTACTCACTTTGTCTTTTTACTTCAGTGAAATACACACTCCAGGAGGGCAGCCATTTTTGTGTTTTCTTACCGAGAACAGTGCTTAGCCTGGTGTATTTTAGGTACTCCAAACATGTGAACGAATAAATGAATGAATGAGTGAACAAAGAGATGGATAGATTTGGAATCCCCTCATCAGGGACTACGCAGGTGTGTGTCGATTCAGTCTTCTCACCCTCAGGTCCTTGTGCTCTTACCATTTTGTTATTCTGCTTTGGTTTCCTTTCTATGTCCACTTGAAGTATTTAGTCTTTTTTCCGTTTTTTAAAATATAGTTCTCTGTGCTATACAGCAGAACCTTGTTGTTTATCCATTTTGTATATAACAGTTAGTATTTGTAAATCCCGAACTCCCAGTTTATCCCTCCCCATCCCATTCCCCCTCTGGTAACCATAAGATTGTTTTCTGTGTCTGAGCCTGTTCCTCTTCTGTCAGTAAGTTCATTTGTGTCATTTTTTTAGATTCTGCATGTAAGTGATACCATATGATGTTTGTCTTTCTGTGTCTGATTTCACTTAGTATGATCATCTCTAGGTCCATCCATGTTGTTGCAGATGGCATTGTTTCATCCTTTTTTATAGCTGAGTAATATTCGGGGGGGGGTGTCTATCTGTCTGTCTGTTCTTTATCCAGTCGTCTGTTGATGGACATTTAGGTTGTTTCCAAGTCTTGGCTGTTGTAAATAGTGCTGCTGTGAACATTGGGGTGCACGCATCTTTCCGAATTAATAGTTTCCTCCAGATACGTGCCCAAGAGTGGGATTGCTGGCTTATGGGGTAAGTCTGTGTTCAGTTTTTTAAGGAGTCTCCATACTGTTTTTCATAGTGGCTGCACCTTTCTTCCAGTTATTAGTGGAAGGCTGTTCAGTATCACTGACACTAGTTTGTTCCCTGTTCACTTCCCGTCAGCATTCTTAAGTCTCCCCGCTGGCTCACACATTCTCTTTGCTTCCTGAACTGTACTGTGTTTTCTTCGTATTTCCATCCCTGCTCTTCTCTCTCAGCCTGACTGTGCCTTTGGGAAGAGAGTTGCTATTGTTCATCCTAGTTTTGGAGGCAACTGAAAATGCCTATAATTTCCCATTGTCAGCGCTTGCCACAAGAGGAGTCCCATTTCCTGACTCCCAGTCTGATCAACAAATGGGAATTCTCTCCTCATCAAAAAAGTGATGGGGGTGGGGAATAGCACAGTAGTAGAGTGTGTACTTAGCATCCATGTAGCCCTGGGTTCAATCCCCGGTACCTCCATTAAATAAATAAACCTAATTACCTCCCCCCTCAAAAACAAAGAAAGAGTGATGTCAGGGACCACAGAGGTGTAGTGCTGCCCTGTGTTTGTAGACTTAGACCTTCTGTTACTTTTGTACAGTTGGCCTCTTTGTTCAAGCTGGTTACAGTTGCTGGCCTTCTTTGAAAAATACAATGTAACTTACATTTAGTGAAATTCACCCACTTAGAAGTCTGCATAGAGGGGAGGGCACAGCTCAGCGGTTGAGTGTGTACGTAGCATGCGCGGGGTCTTGAGTTTAATCCCCAGTACGTCCTCTGTAAACAAACAAACACAAACCGGATTACCTCCCCCCAAAACAAAAACAACCAACCAATTAATAAGATATGTGTATCTTTTAAGTCTGTGTAATTCAGTAAGTTTTGACGAATCTGTACAGCTGTGTGACCACCACCACCGCAGTTAAGGTACGGAACACCCCCCCCCCCCGAGTTCCCTTGGTCGCCTTGATGGACAACCCTTCCGTACTTCCCAGCCGCTCGTAACTACTGACGTGATTTTAGTCCCCACGGATTTGCTTTTCCCAGAGTGTTACGCAGACTTCTTTACCTCGGCATAATGCTTTGAGAGCCGTGCACCTGCAGTGTGTTCCTTTTTGTTGTGGAATGAATTGTAGAGATGTACCACGGTTTGTGTATCCTGCACCATTGATCAGCATTGGTCTTGTTCCAGATTTGGACTGTTCTGCGTCGAGCCATTGTGAGCACTCTTGTTCAAGTGTTTCTGTGGACACTCTTTTTACATGTTGGTGGAGTGATTTGCTCATGTTTGGTTAAGGGCTGTGTCTTTGCTCATGGAGCTCCTTAAAGTCTTGTCCTTGACATCTTTCAGGGCCTCGCAGGATGAGTTGAGATGTGTTCCTGCTCCTCCTCTTTTCTGGAAGAGTTTGTGTTGTATTGGTGTCACTTCTTCCTTAAGTGTTGTTGGCTCTTGGGTTTGTTTCCTCCCGCTGTGTGGTGCAGGGCCCGACAGTGCATGTGGAGACCATGGCGACCATGGGGCTGAGGCCGATGTGTGCACTCAGGAGCGGTGCCTTGTGTGCGCCCGTGAGCTCAGTCCATCTGGTCAGCACTGGAGCTGGCCTGACTTTGCTCTCGGTGGTGCCAGGCGCTGCTCCTGGTGCTCGTGTGGGCCAGAGGGGCCTCTCCACACTCTGCCGCCTTTGTGTGGTGGCGGGCAGAGCCTCCCACGTGGCGCTTTCTCCATTCGCTCATCAAGCCTGAATCTTGGGCAGCCCTGTGCCTGGATGTGAGGTGCAGCTTTCCTGGTAGTCCCGCCCGTCCCGAGGCAGCCAGGTTCTTCCTGTACATCTAGGGGTCTTGGGCATGACCTGTGCTTGTGTGGGTCTGGGCCTTTCTCCTAGGTGAGGGGTTTAGGCCCCTTTTCTCAGTGGGTCAGGCCTGGGCCCCGGGTGGAGGCACCCACCACCCTAGCAGTGAAGGCTTCTCCTTGCTCCTAGAGGAGGGCCAAGCTGGGCCTGTCCCACTGGCCACACTCAGCCTTCGCAGACTCCTTACAGGCTGAGCTGTTTTCTCTGGCCTGCTGTCCATCCGTCTGTCCGTCCTTCCTTCCTCAGCTGGAGGTGAGCCAGCGACGCATGCCTCGTCCTCAGAGAGCTAACTGCGCTGTCCGGCCCAGCTGGTCACTCGAGCTCTCTGGTCTGCAGGCTGTTTCTCGTCGTCAGGGTGAGAGCTCTGAGCCACTTGGAAGCAGGTGTGGAACTGGACTGCTCCCTTCTTAACAAGCGCCCTGTTGTCCAGGGTCACGGTAGACCTTTCTCTGGATACCACCTCTCGGTTCCATGTTGTCAGTTTCTTCTATCCCTAGACCTTGTCGTGCCCAGGCATGTTTCAGACATTCCACTTGACTGTGTCTCCAAGGTCACTTGCCTGACTGTCCTCCACTGCCAGGTTGTCGGACCCGTCCCATCCCTTTCCCCCCATTGGGTCCCTCTGGCCTCAGCCTTCTCCTGGATCAGCCGGGTTCCGCGGCTCTGCTCTGCCCTCTCTCTCGCAGAGCCGCCCGACTTCTCTGATGGGAGCCTGGTTCAGCGGGTACACGCACGTGCACGCACAGGTGCGCACGCGCAGGGCGTTTCTGGAGAAACCGCCGCCCGGCACAGCGCTTCCCCAGGTGGTGGTGCCAGGCCGCGGAAGGGCTCGTAGCATCTGCATGGCTTGGTTCCTACACCCGAGGTAGAGCGAGCCCCTCCTCCTCCTCTCTTCCCAAGTTCCCCCGCCCCCTCGGCTTGCTCGGCTCAGCGCCTGACCTTCCCACTTGAGGGAGAAGGTGGAAGCCAGCACCCAAGCCCTCACTGCCACTCCCCCACCCCCACCCACGCCATACCGAATTTCTGCTGCAGCCACTTTGCCCTGGCCCTGTCTCACTCATCTCAGGGCGTCTACGCAGGCCAGGCACAGAGCGGGCATCTCTGGGGAGTGGTTTTTGAATGAAGGAATGGCCCTGCCTGTGAGTGTTTCCGGACTTCAGACTGTTTACAGTGCTCATCCCGCACTAGAGTTCACGCTTTGGGGCTGTGAGTTGGCAATATTGGGAAGGTTTTCAACTGTGCGTCCAATGCACTTGGTAGCAGTGGTTTCTCTTCATGAGTGAGACTTGTTAATTTTTGTGTTTAAAGAAGTTGCATAATCACTTCACAATACATGTAAGTCATTATGCTGTACATTCTAAATGTACACAGTGCTGTGTGTCAATTATATCTCAGTAAAACTGGGGTGG